AACGGGTGTTGCTATCGACAGAAAATTTACAATTGTTCAGAAATATAGTAGATATAACGCAACTAGGTGTCGCTCTTTTAAATTTACGAAAACAGCACATCCTGACGTTACTCACACCACTAATCGCTGATAATGCTCGCTGTTTTGAATCGGCATGACCATTGCGAAGGCTGACTGAGTGCAGTGAGATGAATACTGCCCGTGCTTGCCGCCTTTAGTCTATATAACTGTTTAGTTGTCATCTGCATAAACTACCTGATTTAACTCATCATTCATAAATCAATGGAAAGCCGTTTGCGAGTGAATTACAATTCTGTTGTCAAATTTGTGAGTTTCTGTTTTTAGGTCCAGTGCGGTGACTACAAAATGATTAAGTAATTAATTAATTAAGGTTACCGACTCGATAAAGACTCGTGTATATAACGCCTGGGTTTTGGAATTCCGAACCTCTGAGGGTTGAAGCATCTTACTCAAGCCACTGGTGCAGTGCCCCGGGACGGCAGAGAATATCCTGCGAGTGTATGACAGGACTTTGTTCCTGAATTGGGCTATCTTCTGCCAAATCCCAAGTGCTGCCGTAGCATCCGAAACGTTGGTCTCGTCTGTCTACGTGATTCAAAAAGATAAGCGGTCTTCGGGACAGACTAACTGTCTGCTCTGGTATATTAGCTCCTTTTCTTGCCGTATTGCAACCGAATCTGGCTGCGAGAAAAGCGAGAGGAGGCGAATCATGTTGTAGAGCTTGTGTTGTATGCTATTTTTTGCCAAAGTAATTGCTGGAAAATTGTACCACCATTTTTCTACTGTTTAGTTTCATTTTCTCACATTATTATCTTCATGATCGTCGTTTAGCGCACTACTATATTTTTAAGTTGCTGTTTCATTTGTTAATTTTCTAGAACCAGTTACTTTTGGCGAATTCTCCCTGGTGCACTTGTCATTTTAGGTTGATGATTAACATGTCCTGTAGTTCTGTCGACTGAATCTTCGTTATTACGGTTTGCGGAGGCCAGCGGTTGAAATATTTTGTGAATCCCGCCGATTCCGTTGTCTGCATGTCTTTCAGTCTTTTGGGTGGATGCGTCTTTCGTCTGATGTCTCATTTGTTCTTGGCTTTTACAATGCTCCAGTTCTAAGGTTTAAATTTAATGTTTAAAAGCAGTATTTTGTTTTAACCAATGGAGAACGAACTGTAATGTAAAGTGCTCAATTGACACTTTAAAGTCACGTTAGAAGTTAAAGTGATTACATCGCTGTCATCTGTGTCATGAACAGTACCTGCAACGAGCAGACATCAAGTTGCGATTTGTAACTCGGATTGTAACAGGTAATGGCCGAGGAAAGCGCCTACATTCCGACTCCAAAGCCAAAACCAATGGTTGGAAGGTCACTTCAAGAAGAAAACGTACCCGAGCAGCAAAAACCGAGTGTCACTCAACAGGAGCGCAGTGTTCTGGAGAATCTCTATGGCAATGAACAGTACATAGAAAAACGTCAGCCCACCCCAAGGCAACAAGCTTCAACGTCGAAGGCCGAGAGCGCTGTGCCAATCGGAGAATACAGCTCTGTGTTGCAGGAGAGCGTTTACCTACCATCCAAAAGAAAATAAAGGCACCCAAATTATAATCCTTACTCATGCCATGTTGCACCACTATTTGAACTAGAATTTTGCGGCTGTTTTATGACAGTACATTGCGCAAACTCTACTATGTTTTTCCAACGATGAAGCGACAGTAAATATTTGTTTTCCGTTTATGCGTTTGATGATATTCCACCTTCATCTCATGCATAAAACATTCGTAAGCATTATAAAAGCATAATTATTATGAGCAGTGTGCCTCAACATTGAGACGAAGCTCTATTTGTCCACGTGGATAACAGCATGAGCATATACATTGACAATGATTTTGCGTTAGATTTATAAGACTATGTGCAAGATTGATTTATCAAACTACTCACCATCGCGAAATGAAACGAAATGAAAAGAATTTCTGCATCCTTATTCATAAAACTTGTCTCATGTTCCATAGCCGCGCTCCACTCTCTTTCATTTAAAGAGTAAACAGCGTTGTAGAAAAACGCCAATGGTTTCTTTAAATATTACAAAGTGGTGACGATTCACTCCGTTGGAAATATTTCATGTATGCCACGTTCAAAATGGAGCTTGAATCATCGCATACTCTGGGCATGGTGACAAATAAATGTTTTTGTAAATGCCAATTGTACATTAACCGCAATAAGCAGCTCGTCATTGCTTGTCTGCTCATTTCAGGCGCATGGTTTTAACTATGAAAAAGTAATCACTGATGCCATGAACCACTAGGAAATGCTATGCAATTAGCTCCACTTCTGAATTCGGTAAAGATATCAGACAAATGCTTCATCTCATATTATTAGGAATGTGCCATTGTCATGGGTAATTTCAGAAGTCACAACAAATAACTTTATTTTACATCATGATATTAGGGAAAAGAGTTTTTAACACTTGGACCATACTTTATGACAGAATGAAATCAGAAAAAATAACTGAAATGGTATTATGTCTCAGGTACAAAGCAAATCGCAGTTTCTCTACGCAAATGAAACCGGTGATGCGTAGAAAAGTGCCTCGAGTACATACTCATATTCTGTGCTTAGTACGACAAGACGCTTTGACAATTAATTTAGGTTTCAAGCTCCGATAGTGTCAATTAAAGTGGAGCATGCGTCTTTCAGAAAAGTTTTAGACGGTACTAGATTCTGGTTCATATGAAAATTTCGAATTGTCTTTTCACATTTAACTTTAATTTAACAGAACAGATTAAAAATGCATGATTGCTGTCCATGCAAAGCTAGATCAGCAACGATCCACTGTAATAACTCAAGTCAGTCAACGGCAATCGAGAAAAATTTGTTGACGAGAATAAAGCATTTAAAATAATACTGGAATAAACCAGTAACAAGATTAATGGATGGGAAGAACAGTGCACGATCACCTCGAACCGGTTACTGCTGTTTCACCATCGAAGTTCCACTAACCTTGTTCAATTCAACATTTTACCATAAGCTGTAGTTTGTAACATATATTTGCGATTTTATAACTTCTTCTGTCTTGCCTCAGAACAATGACAATAGACTCAGTTCTAATGAGGCGCATTATTCTGTCCCGAAAACATCTAATGTAAGCCTGACTATTCCTATAATTGTTTACCATCGTCAGACGCAAGATCTTCCTACTCTCGCTCCGCACAGGACGGAATCATTACTTCGGCTTAGTTCATTCTATCTATCAAATAAAATATGCATTCTTATTGTATGGTGCAGGCATAGCTTATTTAATTCAGCGAATCATTTATGAAATTTACGCCTTAATCAGTATCATCTGCTTGATACCTTTCCTTAACAAAAACCGTATACTTTAGCTTCTTCTCATCCAATCTTTTTTACAATTTGCGCAAAAACATTTTTTTGTTAAAATTTAGTGTTCATAAGGGTAATAAAGAGATATTCAAATTGTTCAATAAAGAGCGAATGAAAGTTTTGATATTATAAAGAATGGAAGCTTCCTGTACGTTTCGATTATGGTTAGTAAAAATTGTTTGTTGAACCTGACAATCCGTAGCTTGTTCATTTAAATGATGCGCATGCTTATTATTCGAATTTCTGCGTTTAAACACCTGTTTTTTCAGTTCGTGTTCTTGCTGTTAATTTATTCGAATTTGGTGAGTGTTAATGACATCGTGATCCAGTAATAAACCACTTAGATAAAGTGAACGAACACAATCAACCTGTCAAACAGAATACTGTTCGGTGTATATCGCACAGTTAACAAGCCTGGTGATGAGTTAGATTGCTTCAGATGTCGGTAAGCTACTAGTCTTGTCGATACCAGAGAGTGCGGCATGTAAGGCAGTTCATCACAGACGTTCTGCAAGCGACGTGCATTTCAATTTTTGGACTTAATTTAGCTGGTTCCTGTCGTTAAGCCCTGTCTGGACTTTTCTTAATTCTTTCCGTTCTCTATCTGAGAAAGCAATTTCGTAACGCTCCTCCGGGAGCACTGAACAGTTTGATAGTTTTGGACTGTTCTCGAACTGCCACCGCAATCATCGATATCAGACCACAGTAATTCTTTATGCAAGCTCGACGATAAGGCAATTAATGCATTCATTCATCAGGTCATTAGCTTCCTGAAAACTCTTCGCATTACCGTGTGAGCTGATAGCCATCTACGGCGTATGAGTTTCGTTGCCAAAATTGAAACCACCTGCCTGGATGATTAATTATATTATTCCATTATACTTTATTCCAAAAGACTTTTCGTTTTAAAGCGAAGATTATAACTTGCTTTTGAGTTTCCGTGAAACTACTAAGCTACCATTTCTGTATATACGGTTGTGGTTAGCACTCAGTAGTAAGTTTTTTCATTATCATCATCATCATCCATCCGCTTCTCGGGTCACAGAGCCAGACGCGTCAGACAGAGCGTCCAACGTTCCCGATCCTGTGCCAGAGTCTGAGTTTTGGCAAAAGATAACTAGAGTCTGGAACAGACTCCTTCCATGTTTGCACCAGATCAATTTTGGCCGTCCCCTCGGCCTTCTGCCGGTCAGATTTGCAAAGAACAGTTGCTTCGCCTTCCTTTCTGGAGGCATTCGCAACACATGCCCAAGCCATCGCAG